TCACCACTAAACGCGACTTGTAGCGTACCTCACCGCCTGGCTCCTGTTTGATTTTGTAGACCCAGCGACAGTCCAGGATGCGTGCACCGGGTGGCGGCGTGCCCAACTCCCAGGTCTTGTTGGAGAGCTGCGACAGAATCTCGTCATCCATCGAAGTTCTCCACTTGTCCGCTTGCGGACTCGCCACCGCTTCCTCATAACTGCGCGGCTCCTGCACCGCGCTGTTGCCTCCGCCGCCCGCATTGCCGTCGCCTGCCTCAGCATAATTTGTGCTTCCCGACGCTTTGTTAAGCAGCGGTGGACTGCCCAAATCTCCGCCGCCGCCGCTGCTGTTGTTGGCTGGGCAGACCGTGGCCAGCGGCGGGTGAAGAGGTTGCCGTTGGCTGCGTGTGTTGGGGCGGGGGGGGGGCGCTGGGTTCACTGGGGGCGATGCAACCACTGGAGGCGGCGGTGTGGCGGGCTGTGTAGAGCCGCCGACGGGGTCGCCGCTGCCAGGACGGGCGGGGCCAGCGCCGAAGGAGGTGCCCGCCCGTTGAGACGCCAGGCCGCGGAGGTCGTCGTCGAAGGTGACGTCGCTGCTAACAGTCACCTTACCGTCAACGAGGACGCGGTGGGCGGCCGTGCCGCGCTCCGGTCCTAGGTAGGTTCCCGCCTTGTCCGTGCCGAACGTGACTGAGCAGCCGCGTGTCACGAGAAGGTCGACAGACATGAGCGTTAGTCCCGAGCTGGGGACATGGAGCACGTTGCGTAGCCAGATGGATTCTCCATCGCGCGTCCGTAGGAGCAGCTGCCCTGTTCCCATGACGTCGGCTAGCTGGTTGTTCCCCCACTTGATTTGCTTGGGCGCGCCGGCAGGAACGTAATTATGTAACAGTGAGCGGTCACCTGTAAGGTGGTAAGGCGAACCAGAGTCTAGGACTACTGCTGAACTGTTGCCACTGCCACCGACGACCAGCACCGTGGCACGGTTCTGGCGTGAGCTTACACCGCCACCGCCGCCGCCACTGCTTCCGCCAGCAGTGTCGCTGCCGCTGCGGCGGCCGTTGCCGCGTCTAAAACGGCCGCGTTCGCGCGTCCTGTCGCCCCCGCTGTTATTGCCGCCGCTGGTACCTCCGCCGCCGCCATCACGTTGGCGGTTGCCGCTGCCACTGCTGCCGGCGCCAGTACTGCGTGGCTGCTCAAACGCATTGCTGCGGTAGAGGCCTACGGACACGTCCGCCAGCTTAACGGGGCATTCACGGACATAGTGCCCAGGCTGTCCACAGTAGCGGCAGGTGTCGTTGGCCCCCGCGGCGCCCGAGGCGCCGGCAGCACCGCGGACTCCACGGGCGGTGCGACCAGGGCCAACAGCTCCAACCAGGCCGGACTTGACTGCTTGGGCCTTCAGGTTGTTCTCCTTCTCCCGCAGCATGAACACGAGCTGCGGGGTAGTCAAGTTGGGCAAATACATCGCGAACTCGACAGTGATAGCGTACTGAGGAGGCAGGCCGTGGAGAATGGCGTGACGCATAGCACCCTCGTCCCACTGGCCGCCTGCCGAGATAATGTCGCTGCAGAGCTGCTCCGCCCGCTGAATGAAGTCAGCGGTCGTCTCGTCGTCGCCCATGCGCAGTTGCTTCTGCGGCTCCAGCAGGCTTAGCCCGGCCTGAGAGGCAGAACGGAACTGCAGCTGTAAGAGCTGCATGGCGGCGAGGGTCGTCTGACAGTTCCTGAGCAACTGCTTTACTGGCAGTTCGCAGGATAGACGCAGGTAGCCAAGCGCCTGGGCATCTTCCTCCAGAGCGTCTTGCGCATTGCGTCCCGGTGGCGATGGGTTGGTCATATAGCTCCGCAGCTTGGATGTAGCAAGGAAGTCACCGAAGTCTCCTAGCCACTGTGAGTAGTTAGACCCGTCCGCTAAGAGGACGGTCTTACACCCTTTTCCCATGTCGGTTGCCTAGCGAGCCTCCCTGCTCAAGCTAAAAGCAACTACAGATATTAACCGCCGGGAACCGTTACCCGGGGCTCATAACCTGTTGGTGAGACGCTATCTCACAGGGACCTAGCAGACACGACTAAGGAGACATTAGCCGTTACACGTATTCGGGAGATCCGCGACCTACCACCGAAAGCCCCTTTTCCTAGGCGTAAACGTGTGAATCTGAGGTACTGTTACCGATAAACAGCAGAGACTTATAAAGGCTTGGAAAGCCTATCCCAAAGGACGAGAGCTATCAGTACGCTAGAACCTAATAGCCGTTTTGACGGGCCTCCCGAGACAGGTCCAAAGCTGTGACTCAGTCCAACATGCGACCTCAGACCGGCCACAGCTGTCACTCACGACAGCCTGACAAGTTACCCAAGCAGGCCACAGGGCGACACGGCAACCCTTCGCATCAACAAGGGGGAGGGGGAGGGGGAGGGGGAGGGGGAGGGGGAGGGGGAGGGGGAGGGGGAGGGGGAGGGGGAGGGGGAGGGGGAGGGAGAGGGGGAGTAACTGTTGCGATACAGATTTAACTTGTCAACACACATGTACGTGCACTTGTATATGTGCAGGTCCGCTTCAATTTCAACGCCACAGCAGTTGGTACGACAAGTCTGGTGTTTAGCGCCAGTGATGGCGTGCTGATCGGCGGTGGGCGAGACTCTCTGCAATTGGAAATCGACGTGGAGGGTAAGCACCTTTTTGCATTGGTAGGTCGCGCAGCTGTAGAGCATGCGCTCGGTGGAACGGATGGCATCTGAGCTGGTGTACATAGCTGGCTAGAGGATTCGAACAGGTGACGGCACCTTGCATCGGAATGCACTCCATTTAAACACGTTTCATCCTTATATGTGATACACATACAGACATACACACATACACACATAGACATGTGTATACTGCGCACCTGCAGGTCAGCAAGGGGCGGTGTGGATAGCCACATCATATCCCCTGGCCGGAGCCGCCACCCCATCGAATCCCACCAACAGCACTGTCAGCTGGGTGGATGGATTGGAACTTCCGGCGACCGTACCGGGTAGCGGTGAGTTGGGGCCCGTGTGTGTATGTGATGTATGTGTGTATGTGTATCTTTCCATATCAATCCGGGCCTGACGCTGCCAGGGGGACCTAACCGTATATCCCAACGGGAATGAGTGACTGCCGAAGCTCTCTCCCCCCTACTGCGGGAGGAGAGGAGAGGGGCCACCACAGTCCCCTCGTGCTCAGTGCTACCGAGGGCGCGAGATCTCGCCTCTAGAGGCGCGAGTGTGTGTGATTGTGTTTAAATGCACTGGGCCGCGAGGAGGAGTACTTGGGGTTTAAGGAGTCAGTTTAGTGTATGTACGTGTATGCCCCGCATACCGAGGAGCCTCCGCTTCCGGTAGTCCTGTATGTATGTATGTATGTGTGAGCACACCATTGGATCCGTCGCATCCCCCCACCCGCCCTAAGGATCCGTCGTCCTTTCCCCCCCCCCCGCTCTTCCACCATATCACAAAACCATACACACACACATATATATATATACATACACGCACAAACATGCACATACACATACAGGCGGTCTGACCTTGTCAGCTGGTGTCGGCTATTTGCCAGCTCTTGCTGCGTTGTACGACAACATACTGGTTTCGGAGTCCTGGAGGTGCGTGTATGCATGCGTTCGTGCACATGGCAGTGGGGTGGCCTGGGTGGCGGGGTATTAGGGTTTTAAAGCCTGTGAAGAGGGGAGGGGGTTTATGGACTGAGAAAGGGCGGGGCCCTCGTTTCATTTCATTTCATTTCATTTCATTTCATTTCATTTCATTTCATTTCATTTCATTTCATTTCATTTCATTTCATTTCATTTCATTTCATTCATTTCATGTGTAGTGGCGACACAGGTTTCGTGGAAACGCACGAGAGGCTCTACATGACGTGAACGGGAGCTGCACGGCTTTGGGATCCCGAACGTTCCGTACATGTACGACGCGCGTACGCAATCCCCCTATGCAACCGGGAGCTGCACCGGTGGCCTTGATTTCACCACAATTTAAAAAACCTTAAAACCATCATGTGTAAACACTGACTGCCAACCACCAACCGTTTATCGTACGCACTTGAATGAACAGGACGGAACCTTACGCACAGCCAGCAGTGCTATGGGCGACACTGCCTGCCGTACTGTCGTACTACGGTCAAACCGTTAACGGCAGCCAGGCGACGGAGGTTACAGCGGCAGTTTCCGATTTGAACACTCTCACAGATCCCGTGTACGGCTTGTGTTGGACCACATATTCTAGGTTTAGCGGTTGGTGGACCAGAAGGTACGATATTAAAGTTGTCGTACACTGCCGTAACATGTCCTTGTTTGTTATGCCGTAGATAGTTAAAACCCTAAGTTAATATACTTAGACATACATAACATGGGTTAAGCACAACTGGTAACGCGCAACCATTGCCCTCGGGAGATCCCGGGATCGATACCTATTAAGGTCGAAAATTCTTCCGATAATGGAAGGTAATAGTGCCCCTAGTTGATGGACGGTGGTGACCTGGGATAAAGTTAACTTACGAGCCGACCAGGAATGGAGTTGGGCCGCTGTCGACCCGGCAGATTCCGTTGGATGCTGGTGGTGGGTGCGGAACCTGAGCGATCAACTGAGAAGTCGGCTAGGGTGACTGGATGAGGGTGCCCCGAAATACCCGCGGGGAAGGCAGGGCTTCGCAGGTTAGCTGCCACGGGTGAAGATATACACCCCTGTCTCACACACCATACACACACCACCACCTCTAAATCCCCCCCCCCCCACACACACACACGCACTTTACACCCCACCCATCCCTCTTCTACGGCCCCCCTCAGGACCGACGTCTACCTCAACACTTGGGCGCTCTTCGTGGTCAATTTCCACGCAGCTGTCGTACCGTCTGTCGTACCGGACGTTTTGGCGCCCAAATGGCGTCAGGCGTTGGAGACGCAGGTGGTGGCGGACGACTGGGAAGCTCGGTCGTACAACTCGTCGTACAGCGACTGGAACATGCTGGCGTGGATTCGGTAGGTAGTTGACAGTTAAGATGTCTTAAGAGAGTATTATCTTCATTCTGTATGTACGCACACACACACACACACACACACACACACACACACACAAATACAAAACCTTCCCTTCAACCGCCCAGTTTCCTTCGCAGCCCATTTCCCCCTCTTTTCCAAAACGCTTTCAAAACTCTTCTTTCCCCTTCGGTCTCTTTCTCCCCTCCCAATACGCGCTCGGCTTTATGGCTATGCTTGCTTCCCGCCCTCCCGCCGTACGTACGTACGCCCTCCCCCCATGCATACATACATGGACACATACCTACATACATGGACATGCGCAGTGATACCCCCTCTGTTGAGCAATTCCGTTTTTCGTACTCCTAGCACATACCTAACACACATACATACTCATATACAGCTCACATTCTCTTATTCTGTGCTTGTTATTCGTTAACAACTTATCCATATGTATACACACAAATGCACATACAGACATAAGTATACACACATGCACATACATACATACATATGTACATACATATGTACACACACAATCACGCAGGCTGGCGTTGGGCGCTGATTGGAAGCCCGATGCAGTCGCCAGCGCGGACAACCTCACCCTGTGGCACGTCTCCCTGGAGCGAACTCTGGCCGTGTATAGGGACCAGGAGACACGGTGGCAGTTTGACAGACAGGTGCGTGCTTGCATGTACGTATATGTAGGTATGCATGTGTATTTCCCTACGCCTGTATGTCCGTATGTATGTACGTACAGACGTATGTACATACAGCAGATATATAGCATCGTCAATATTTGTCGTACTCAATATACGGCACGTACACACGCACTTAGGAAATATTCAAAGACGCTGGTAAAGCATTTTTCGGCGGTCGACTAGGTACTGCTACCTAACCTTTGTCACATTCGTAACTTATAACGTAACTGTACGGCACTCCATTTCCAATTTTGCGTCCAATAATGTTAGTAATATTGCATTCCTTCGTTAAAACATATATGTATGTATGTACGTATGTATCTTCGCTCTGACGGAACGCATGTGTATCTGATGTCCTTCGAGCGATCCTTCTATCTGACTCCATAATCACTTTGCCGTGTCGTACCTTGCCGTGTCGTACGCCACTTTACACACACATATACGACACACGCGCAGACCCGTATGGTACTATCGCTGGTGCTGCTGAGCATGGGCGACGAAAATCCGGAACCTGGCCTGGTGGATGAAACAGTAACGGAAGTCGTATCGTCGCTACACACCCAAGGCCGTACAGTTTATCTGGGCGTCGGCCCCGGTGAGGGTGTGGTCTTCGGAGCGTTGGGGCATTCCAGTCATCATAATGTTGTTACAGAGTGGGGGCTTCTGGGCCATGGTGTGCATTCGTACTTTACGTGTGTATGTATGTGCGTGCGTATTTGTGTACGTGTTTTTGTTTCGGATAGGAGAAAATCGAATGACCGGCCTCCTGGGGGGTTGATGAATTAAAGGAAAGAATTCAATTTTCCTCCTAATTTTCTACTTTAACCTTTATTATCTTCTTTCTCTCTACCTCCTGCGTCATACATATTTCTTAGCTTCTTTCTCTCCCTCTTTTTCCCCCCTTCCCCCGCCTCGCTCACCACAAGGTATCTCCGCAACAGCCTCCCCGGAGGAGCAGGCGCTGGCACTGCTACTGCTGCTCCGCTCCGGAGTCGACGTTCCTGCTTTCACGTCTAGGCTTGCAAACTACATCGCCAGCCCTTCAAGCGCTGGCAGAGGCGGCGGCATATTCCTCAACCTTTACCCTTCCTTAAGTGCTCAGGCACTGGCTGTGGCGGCGCTGACGGAGTACGACAGATCGAGGGGTAGCAGCGAACCCAACCTGGACTTGAGGGCTTCGGTCGGAAGCCTCAATGTACTGCAGGTACGTTGTTTGGTCGTTGTTTGTTGGTTTGTTCGTTTCGTTCATTCGTTTTTGTTTGTTTATTTTGTATGCGAGGGGTGGGGCCACTAGGGGGGTTAAAGTTGGATTCCCAAGAAGATGAAAACCCTTGTTATGACCTCCCCTCCCCCCTTCCCCCTCCCCCCATCCACACAATTTACACATATACATACATACACACTCTCTACTCAGGCGTCCTTCCGTGTCAACGAAACACGCCCCGTCACGTCCTACACAACGTGGGAAGCCATGCCGCCCTCCTCCCGGGGCAAGCCTCGGTTGCTGTCCGTAGAGGTGAGAAGTGGACGGGAGGGAAGCAGATCGGAAGAGAAGGGATAATCGGAATAATAACCACCAACCACCAACATGAATCGCTCCATATAACCACCATCTACCAACTACCAGCAACTAATAACAATTACCTCTCATACAAAACAAGGACCCGGCATCATCCACTCAACAGCAGAGACTATTCGACCATCCCACCACACAATCCAAACACCCAACCGCGTTCCACCAACCGCCAACCGCCAACCACCACAGGCCAACGGTACCGGAGAAGCTTTCCTCTCTGCCGCCATCCGCTTTATCCCCGTAGCGCTACCCCCGTTCCCCACATACCGAGGAATTGCCGTCGAGCTTGTCGTACAACTCGTTGACCCGCTCACTGGTCGGCCGACGGGCCCTCACCTCGCTGCCGTACCTCTCGGTTCCGTTGTAGCGTTAACCGTCCAACTTACAACCCCCGACGATCTCAGCGCGGTCACCCTTTCCGTTATGATGCCTGGTGGTTTGGAACCTATGGATCCAAATCTGGTTCCTGATGCGGCATCGCCGTGCTTCATCAGCTGGTTTGGGTCGAACGAGTGGCAGTACTGCTTCCCGCGATGGTGGTGGTGGCCGGTGTGCCCGGCTCAGGAAACCCGGCCGTCGCTGGTAACGTTCTCTTACGCCGCGCTTCGTGCCGGTACCACCACAGCCACGGTTAAAGCTGTGGCGGCGACTGCAGGCACGTTTGTCGTACCACCTGTACGAGCATCGGTAGACGAGCAGCCGGAGGTGATGGGTATGACGGCGGGTGGTAGTTTGACGGTGTGCGATGGATGCTCCGGCGCCACGCCGGCGCCCCCGCCTCGCGCCCCTAAGGCCTGTCCCGCGGACTGCAGCGGCAACGGAGTTTGCAACTTGCTGAGGGGGGTGTGCAGCTGTGATGATGGCTTTACTAATCCTGACTGCGCCATCCCCGAATAACGGATATAATTTAATATCCTAATTCCTAATAAAGAAGATTAGGAGGGGCACATTACACTATACTCCGATTGCAGTACACTGCGTCCACAGCAAAATGTCGTACATTCGTACACTCATATATGTGTTCTGTAGGGGGTTTGCCGGGAGGGGTTTTGCCGCGCGCTTCATGTCGTGTTTGATGTTGTTGTTGTTGTCAAGTGGATGCAGACGACGGCGGAATGCGCGGGTGCATGAATAAATTTCGTGTAAATGTGTACATGCCTGGTTGAGAAGCTAGCCAGCAGATAGAGGTAATAGCAACTTGGCCTACGCATGCATGTACAAACATACGTACATACATACATATGTATGTGTGTGTGATGACCATGAAGATCACATGGCACTCAACACCCGTCACATGCATTCAGGTTTCGGGGGAAATCATTATTATCTCCGCCGTCGTATGTACGTTTGTACGTATGGACGTTTGTAGGTGTTATATCACGAGTACGCAGAAAGTACCGATCGGCGTATGCAGATCCTACCGTGGTATTAGGTCCACAGGATGCTACACAGTAGCCTCGTAGCGTACGTCCTATACGGACATGTCTGTGCGTGAAATGTCTGTGCGGACCTTCTTCATCGTCTTACGGTCGAACCCGCGTAGATGCAATCTTGCATCATCATCATCATTATCATCATCATCATCATCGTCACCATCATCACCATCATCACCATCGTCACCATCATCATCACCATCACCATCACCATCATCACCATCATCATCATTATCATCATCATCATCGTCATCGCACCCTACCTACCGTCCTCCGCCTCCCCCTTTTTCCGGCGCGTGCCTTAATTTGCACCTTTATGTTTGTGGTCATTTTGCTGCATCACAAGCTGCATTGAAAGTGTCTCACTCTTTGGTCAGTCGATAATTGATATATGATCCCCTGTAAGGAAATTGTCACCATCGTTTTATGACGACCGTGCCCTAGAATTGTAGAAAGGAATAATAATTCCTATCAAATGTAATCAGAGGTCTGCAAAATTAGGGCTTGGGTTCGGGTACCGGTCAGGCAGAAATTAGGATGCCGAAAGAAGGGACAGGATTAGGATACAAAGTTGAGGCCAGGTTTAGGATGAGGACGCGAATGCAGGATTAGGATTGGGACCTCACCCACAGGATTAGGATTGGGGTCCGGCCACAGGATTAGGATTGGGACCCTCACCCAACCGGGGCAGGATTAGGATAAATACCCCATATCCAGGATAAGAGTTAGTACACTGATATTGGATGAAGTTTAGTACACTGCAATTAACGGTGATTCGGATACTGCTATGTAGGAGGACTGTAAAATCCCAGGCCCTCCAGCTACCGTTCGGACGGAGTTAGAAAGCTGTTCTGCCATGTCGTACCTAAATATGTGATTAGATCCTGTTTCATAGAATATAAACTGCATCTCCGCAACTGAAATGGTACAAGTCGTCTGGACGAGAGGGGATCCCCTCCTTTCTGTTTGAGTGGGTTTGACAGAGAGATTGGCAGGAGGGAATTTGCTTTTGATGGATACATGGGTAAACCATAGGGAATAACAAGACGAGCAAGTCACACCCAGAAAAAGTAAATTACATGTGAATGAGCATTGGGCGCACCTGGGCGGCAGGGGATCGAGGCGGCAAGGGCAGAGGTGGCAGGGTATAGAGGTGAAGGCGCCAGGGGCGGAGGCGGCTGTGGAGGAGGGGCAGGGAATATAGGCGGCAGGAGTTTAGAGGGCAGGGGTAAAGGCGGCAGGGGATCGAGGCGGCAAGGGCAGAGGCGGCAGGGGATAGAGGTTAACGCGGCAGGGGCGGAGGCGGCTGGGGAGGAGGGGGCAGGGGTTAGAGGCGGCAAGGGCAGAGGTGAAGGCAGCAGGGGCGGAGGCGGCTGGGGAGGAGGGGGCAGGGGTTAGAGGCGGCAAAGGCAGAGGTGGAGGGGGCAGGGGCGGAGGCGGCTGGGGAGGAGGGGGCAGGGAATAGAGGCGGCAGGGGTTTAAAGGGCATGGGTGGAGGCGGCTGGGGATCGAGGCGGAAGGGGCGTAAGCGGCAGGGGAGGAGGCGGCGGCGGGGGAATCGGTAGGGGATACAGGTGACAAGGGCAGAGGAGGCCTGGCATAGGATTGACAGAGTTGGCAGGGGTGAAGGCAGCAGGGGCGGCGGCGGCAGGGGGTGTGGCGGCGAGGAGGTGGCGGGGAAATACGTGGTATGGGGTAGAGGCGGCAAGGGCAGAGGCGGCAGGGGAGTTTGCAGGGGCGGAGGAGGCAAAGGATAGAGGATGCAGTGGTGGGGGTTGCAGGGGTGGCGGTGGCAGGGGCTTATGCGGCTGGACAGGAGTTGGCAGGGAGAAGAGGCGGCAAGGGATGAGGCGGCAGGGGAGGAGGCGGCGGGGGAGAAAGCAGTAGGGGATAGAGGCGGCAAAACGGGAGAGGCGGCAGGGCATTGAAGCGGCAGGGGATAGAGGTGGCAGGGGCGTCAGCTGCAGGGAATAGAGGCGGTCGGGGACTGAGGCGGCCGGGCATAGTGGCGGCCGGGAATTTAGAAGGCGGGGCATAGTGATGAACTCCTTTGACACTAAAACGTTTGCTTAGCAGCGGAATTTGCAAGTTCCCAACCGCCGCATAACTATTTTAACATGACAGCATCGAAAGTCACAACTACAGATGCCTTCACCTATGCAATTTTCAAGAACTATTTTGCGCATGTGCGGAGTGCATTTTGCTTGAAGTTGTCGTACATTTGAGGATGGAAATCCCCAAATGTACGACAACAATGGCGCCCATAGCAGCAGCGTCAATGAATTGGCTCGTGAAGATCGCAAACGAAAAACACGATTTTGTCCGCTAAGGCCTTGTGCATACCGAATACTTTACCGGCAATCATAGGACCAGATTCCACGAACTCGGCTAACTTGCTAAACGGCCTATTTAAGATTACCAAGGGTCTTCTCTGCTGCTTTGCGAGATCGAGGCGGCTTGTGAGCATCCGTGGACAACCGAAGCGCGCAAGCTCACCGACGCTTGTAATCCACCAACAAAGATCAGCTACACATACATTGCAAATCATACCTGACTTAACGGACGCAGCCATATGTAAGCATTGCTGTTTTTGTTACAGCGAAGCTGTTGAAAGCAAACGCCAATGGCAGAGGCCGGAGTTGCGAGCAACTCCTCGTGCCACCTTTATGACCAGCTCAGAAGTCCCAACATAGTGTCTTCCGAAATTTGCAGGCTTTACCCATTCATAGGCGTGTTGTGTCGGCGTGCAACAAGTGCAAAGCCCGAGTCTTCCGAAGACGTGACGCGTTGCGTCACCTGCGCACGAGGCGCTCTCGATGTGTGCGTGATTAGTATGGTGCAAATAGAGGATAGATGCGGCAGGCGAGGAGTTTGCAGGGGGTACAGGTGGGAGGGGAGGACGCGGCAGGAGTGAGAGGCGGTAGGGGATCGAGTCGTGAGGGGAGGACGCGGCAGGTGACAGACGCAGCCTGGGATAGAGGTGGCGGGGGTGGAGGGGTAGGCGAGGAAGCGGTAGGGTAGGGGAATGAGGCGGCAGGGGATAGTGGCAGAAAGGGGAGGGGGGAGCCACGGAAGAGGCATCAGGGGAGGAGGCGTCGGGGGGAGGCCGCAGAGGGACAGCCAGGTAGTGAGGCAGCCGGAGATAGTGGCGGCTGGGAATAGTGATGAAGTCCTTGGACACTAAAAAGTTTGCTTACCAGCGGAATGGACCCGCCGACCTGCAAATTCCCAATCGCCACTTCGTCTCCATGTTATGACAGCGCTGTAGGACACAACTACATATGCACATGTATGCAACTGCCGCATGTAAATTGGTGCTACATGAGATATGGGTGTAGATACCAACAGCCCTATGGCATAAAACGGGGGGTAACCAACAGCTTAGGGGCCCATCTCCGCCCATCTCCGCAAGACAGGAATGACGAACTACCTATGGGCCTTCTATCACGAACATAGCGGTCATGTGCCTGAATAGCGTCATGTTAGGCCACCATGCTGGGATGTAATGTTCGGCATGTGTCAGGGGGTTCCAATTTGTGGCCGGTGTGTCAGGGGATGGATAGTGCCTGAGAATGACGATTGCTGGGCAGCAGCTGGATGCCATGTGTACTTGTAGTTGCAAGGACCGCTGCTGTGTGGCCAATGCGGAAGGGCAGCGGGTGCACCATGTGCGTCCATTGGGGAGGAGGTCCAGAAAGGCATGGTCTGGTGGATCGGAGCGCGTGGTGAAGGCGCAAACAGTGCGAAGGCTTGCTGGCGCGTGCAATGTATGTGGCGGCCCGCAAGGAAAACATGCACCTTGTGATGGCCGGTCTGATGCAAGCATCAGGGACAGGGATGTTTGGCAGGATGTCAATTCGCAGGAAAGTTTGATAGGAAAGGCATGATATTTACTGGCCATACATCATTGACTCAAGAACGGCGCGAGGTGGCCATGACTCCCGGTCGGCGTGGTACGGCGCTAAACATCAAGATTCGATCATGCAGTGTGGATTAAAACGGCAAATTCATAAGCGTGCATTTTATGTAGAGACCATGAAGCGAAGGCAGTGCAAGGACATGAACAACATTGTAAGAGTTGGCCTGCTGCGATACAATGAGTGAATGTCTCATGTTTGTCAAGGCTCGGATCAGCAACAACACCAGCATCGGTCCATTGGCTACATATTAGCACGTAGCTGGCAGCGTACTTGTGCAGCAGCGCGGCAGAGTGGTGATGGCCTGGCATTGGGCCAGCACGGTGCTGACAGAGCTGCGGCCGCGCTTAGAGGGAATGAAACATTTGAAGCACAGCTGCCAGAAGGCAGTACAGCGGCTGGCTGCAAATCGCTAGGCGATCAAGTGTGGTGCTGCTTGTACTTGCACTTGAGGGCCGCTGCCGCCCCTGCCAGGGGCTGCTTGTTGTTTGTCTGTGTCTGTGATGCCAGACAGCTATCAGGCAGCCACGCGTGCACAGGGCAGCTGGAGTCGGATTGGCAGGGGTGGAAGATGGTTGCATCAGCACACTCATGCAACTGTGCACTAAAGATAAGGTCAGCATGTGCACATTGATAGCAAGGGTGCTGGCTTCATGCTGCACCAACTGATGCACAGTGCTGCCAACTGATGCACAGTGCCGGACCAGATGAAAGCTGTTGTGCCTGATCTGCACAGGCCCAACACCCGAGTGGCTGCTGACATGTGGATTGGCCACCTGGGTGCGCATCTGCAGTGGTGGTGCCAGGCAGGATAGTCTGGTCTGACCAACAGAACCTGCCACTGCCTGCCAACATGACGGATGTCTGGGGCTTGAGTGCATGCCACCCGCTGTTGGAAGTGCTGGGGGTGGAGCTGGATGCAGCGACTACATGTGTGATGGTCATACCAGTGCTGGGCCATTTGCTGGTCAAGCAGGGCAACCTAAGTGCTTTGCAAGTTGGGCTGCATGACATCATGGGGCCCACTCTGGTCATGGTGTGTGGCACCACCCCACTGCTCAAGCAGACTGCCAACATGGCTGGGGGCAAGCTGCAAGCTGGGGGTCCCATGCCTGCTTTGAGTGGGCAGCAGGTGACAATGCTGTTTGTGAAAGTCAAGGTGCATGTGGAAGGGGGGGTTGAATGGCCTGGTACTGTTTGTGTGCACACCTTGTATGGACATGACCTAACTGACACCCATGTGCAGGTGGACAACCCTGCCACTGTCGAGCTAGTTTGGTCCAAGGTTGCTGCACTGGATCTCAGCCAGCTGTGGAACAAGCTACCTCATCACAAAGCAGCAGGCAGTTCCATGCAGCAGGTTGACATGGTGGGCCACATGTATGTGGCCACTGACAGTAGCAATCTGGCTGGATGGTATGGCAGGTAGGGTGTGTTTGCAGAGGGTGCAATGGACATGAGAATGCAATGTTGCAGGATGGCAGGTGTGTCAGAAGTAGGCTGGGCAGGGAGGGTGTGCACATGGGATGTGCCTGGCATCTGCCTTGATGGGCCAGCAGCCTTGTACAGGCTGTGCACCCCATCTGGTAGTGCTGGGTTGACCAGGTGTGCATGGTGCAGGTGGCGAGCCAGCGCCTCCATACAGGTGTATGTTCCTCTGCCCCTGCATTCTGGCATCCTGTTGTTGTTGGAGGGGTTGTGCTGTGCTGCTGTAATGTGTCAGAAGTAGGCTGGGCAGGGAGGGTGTGCACATGGGATGTGCCTGGCATCCGCCTTGATGGGCCAGCAGTGTTGCCCTTACCACTCTGGGAACCAGCTTCCCTTCAATACCAGGGAATCCCTTCATCTAGTTGTCGTTTCGTGCTCATTCGTGCTCATTTCATAACGAAGGGCTGAGGGGCCTTCAGAGCATATCGACGGAGTTCGGCTGAAATGGCCACTTAGCATGCAAAAACCCTGTAATATCGCCATGCCAGGGATTGTTTTAATTACTTATGACTGTACAAATACTCCAAACATAAGGTTTCGTTCAGTCTGCGCTTGTCCCAGAATGAAGGGCTGTAGGGCCCTTCAGAACATACAAATGCACACAGCATCTGTTCGCAAGTCCTGCTTTCTGTTGAAGATGTAATAATAGCTAATAAAGATGGCCCCTCCAGTTAAAACATATCCATGTTACCTCTGCCGCGGTCGACTGTATGCGTTGTCGAAATTTGAAATTACGTGTGTGTCCTGCGAACGCAAGTATCATAGCACGTCTCATGCATATAATCTCGTCATCATGCATCAGTGCGTCCAGCCTCATGGTGGTAATAATGGCAAAGAGCTTTTTGGCCTCGATGCCGTGGCTCCTAACGAGATGGTCGCTGGACGCAGTGAGAAATTGCTGCAATACATTGCCAGGTACTATGTAGGGTTAAAATTTGCTACGTCCAATATGATGCAGATGAATCTCCTCAGCAACAAGCTCCCGTTGCGGCGGGCCCTTCGGTGGTTGGTGCGGGAGTGCAGGAGCACAGGCGCAAGCTAACAAACCAGACCAAACAGGTACAACAAATGAAACTAGCAGACACGTCACATGTAAGTCATGAGCGATTTGAAACGAGGTCCCCCCTGTCAGTGCAGGCACCCTGTCTCCGGTGGACATGGAGTGGAGTCCACTGAAGGGCCAGGCGGAAATGCAGTGGAGCCCTGACAATCTAACAGGTGAGACCGTAGTCCATAAGGTAAGAGGACGGAAATGGCAGCAGTGGTGACGGCAGGGGAGGTGAAGGGCATGGGGTGAAGGGGATGGTGGTGATGGTGGCTCAGGTGACTGCAACTCAGGCGACGGTGTCACGGGCAACTGCGTCACATGCGACTGCGGGGATGACGATGAACCCTTCATGGTGTCGTGGTCGTATGCCCTGCTATTCCCAGGTGACGGATCACCTGGACACATTGGGACGGATGGAGAGGTGGAGATCCGTATTGTTGCCACTGAAGAAGCAACGGTTGGCGACGGATGTGCAGGTGAGAACGGATGGGAATGCATGGGAGAGAGGTGGTAGTGGCGGCCACGGAGATGGGGGGGCGGGGATTGCAGCAATGAAGAGGACGGAGGTGGAAATGGCGGCCGTGGTGACGGCAGGGGAGGTGAAGGGGATGGGGTGAAGGGGGTGGTGGTGATGGCAGCTCGGGTGACGGCGACTCAGGCGACGTCAGGCGCAACGGGGCACATGGACGCCGTTGCCCCTGACGTCGCTGCTGGGACGGGCGACAGGCACGGAGCCATTTGCTTGGGTGACGGCAGAGGAAGGCGACGGTGAGGAGGGCAATGGCGGGGATGGCGACAGCAGGGATGGCGACAGCGGGGATGGCGGCAGTGGCAATGGTTACGGTTGCAATGGCAAGGGATAAACGTAATGGCGGGGAAACTTCATCCAGAATGAAGTATGTGGAACCCTTCATGGTGTCGTGGTCGTATGCCCTGCTATTCCCAGGTGACGGATCACCTGGACACATTGGGACGGATGGAGAGGTGGAGATCCGTATTGTTGCCACTGAAGAAGCAACGGTTGGCGACGGAGGTGCAGGTGAGAACGGATGAGAATGCATGGGAGAGAGGTGGTAGTGGCGGCCACGGAGACAGGGGGGCGGGGATTGCAGCAATGAAGAGGACGGAGGTGGAAATGGCGGCCGTGGTGACGGCAGGGGAGGTGAAGGGGATGGGGTGAACGGGGTGCTGGTCATGGCAGCTCGGGTGACAGCGACTCAGGGACGGGCGACGGGCACGGGGCAAGGGACGGATGTAATGGACAGGGGTGTGGACTGGTGTAAAGGTAATCATGTCTGCCATTTGCTTTGATGTGCATTTGTGCAGATGATGAAGCAAGGGGTGCAGTGTATGAATCGGAGGATGATGACGGTCCCCTTGCATGTGCACAGGCTCAAGCTAACCAGCCGGATGAAACAGGTACAATAAACGAAACTAGCAGACACGTCACATGTAGATCATCAGCGATTTGAAGCTAGGTCCCCCCTGTCAGTACTGTCAGTACACTAGTGTAGGCGCCTCGTCTCCAGTGGCGGTGGACATGGAGTGGAGTCCGGAGTCCACCGAAGGGCCAGGCGGAAATGCAGTGGAGCCCCGACAACCTAACAGGTGAGACCGTAGTCCATAAGGTATTTTATAGAAATGTTTCTCCTCCTTTTGCATCATCGGGTGATGTGAACACACATTGAAGAAGGGAGGAAGATAGCAAAGTTGGATATGGGGGGGAGAGAGGAGAGGGGGATGCGGGGAAGAAATAGCTGTATCCTATAGGAGGTGGGGATGCGGGGGAGAGAGGAGAGGGGGATGCGGGGCGGAGGTGGAGATGGTGGCAGTGGTGACGGTGGAGGAGGTGAAGGGGGAAGGGATGAAGGGGGTGGAGGTGCTTGGTTGACACCCTCCCCTGCGCCCCCCTAGCCCAACGCTGCCCTCCCCTCCGCCGCCCCTAGCCAAACGACGCCCTCCCCTGTGCCCCCCTTGCCCAACGCCGCCCTCCCCTGCACCCTCCTA